ATTACCTGGATTCATTTCAACTGGCGTTCAGGCCAGGTTTTGGCATGGAAACAGTCTTGATCATTAGGTAAGGCGACCTATGCAGAGAGGGAGACAGAGGAAGTGTGAGCCTGTGGATACTCCTGGAATATTCAGCAGTTTTTGATACAGACCATGGTGTCCTTCTGGGGCAATGTTTTGATTTAAGAGTGGTGGGGTACTGTGCTGTAGCAGCTCTGCTCCTTCTTGGAGAGCTATTTCTAGAAGCTGGTCCTTAGGAAATATTGTTCAATCCAGTGGATTCTCCAGCATGGGGTTCTTCAGGTGTCTGTAACTGCTAACTGGGTTCATCAGAAGTTTTGGACTTCATAGTCATCAGTATGCAATCAATCAATCAATTTACTAATACAGTCAATAAAAAGTATAATAAAGAGAACAATATCAAAATCCCAGTTGCTATACATTAGTAAAAGTCAGAATTAAGATCTAAACTCCGAATTCTGAACAGGTGATGATAGATGTAAAAAAAAGGGAAGGAAGGGAAGGGAAAAGATAGGCAGGCATTCAAATTTATACTCATTATGAACAATACCCTGTTGGATTTTACAGGCAGCTGCCAAAAATCTCATGTCTCAAGCACTGATCTGTGGGTGTTCCCATAAGAATCTTGGCCACCTCTGTATCTAAGTGGCTGGCAAATTTTCCGATCAGGAAGAGAATAAGCTTTCCACATGCGCAAGCAATTAAACAAGACATGCACTATTGTTTCCACTTCTGCTGAACCACAGGGGCAAACCCTTTCTAACATAGGTATCCTTCTATAATGGCCTTCAATAACAGCCAGCATGTTCTTCATCTCCCTAGAAAGAAAGCCCTCCTATGCCATGTCATCAGCATGCTGATGACACATGTTATCAGCAGGCAAAGCTATGGATGTGTTTACCTGGAGCCTGGCTGTGATGCTCAATCCAAATAAGGCTGAGATGCTGTTAGTGGGTGATTCTTCTGATCAGATGGAGGGTATTCAGCTTGTTCTAGATGGGGTTGCATTCTGCCTAAAGGAACAGGTACATAGCTTGGAAGCTCTCCTTGATCCATCTTTGTCACTTGAGGTTCAGGTGGCTGCAGAATTAATCTGTACCTCATACAGAATGAAGTACAGATGACTGGGACTTGTTTGTCCAAATGTATAAGACCAGTTCTTGCTCACTTGCATTGGCTGCCTGTATTCTTCCAGTCCCAATTCAAGGTGCTGGTTTAACATTTAGGCCTTATATAACTTGGGATCACAGAACTTGACAGAGTGTTGTTCCCAACTGCAGTCTACTTAGAGACAACACTCAACATTTGGGGCCTTCTGAGTGCCAACTCCAAAGGAAACCGAGAGAACTGCTACAAGAGGGAGGGCTTTTTCTGTGGTGACCTCCAGTGTATCAAATGACCTTCCCATTGCAGCTCACCTTGCACCAACTTTACAATCTTTCAGTGCCATGTGAAGATGTTCCTTTGTGTTGAGACTTTTAAAGATATAGTAGGTTATCCAGTGCCTTGTGAGTATTATGCATCCTAGGTGTTTTTCTTTTACAGAATTGTTCTTTACTGTATGTTTTTAGCTAGTCTTTTAATCTTTATTTTCATAAGATGTTCTTACATTTTGAATTTTAATCTTTTATGTACTATTGGCATATTCAGACTTTAGATACATAATGTACATAGTACATAATGTACTATAGTACAATATTACATAATGTACTATTGGCGTATTCAGACTTTAGAAGGAAAAGGGAAGTTTTGGAAATTGGATATCTTTGTGTTTTTGGCTGTCCCTATTTTCTTGTCATCGCTTATGTTATTCGTTTGTTGTTTTGCTATATACCAGGCATGTGTATTAGGGTGGGGGCAGGGGAAGAAACATCTGTAGATATCCAAACTGGTTTTCCAGTTCCTGAGCCAGACTTAGATATAAAAAGGAGAGAATAATCCTTAGATCATGAACCTGGCCCTTGGCTCTTATGTGGCCATTACATATATAAGGGGCAAAGAGCTGTGTATGAAAACACTCTCCTTTGAATCATCTCTTCTATGCAAACTTGGTTCCCCCACCACAGCTAAAATGAAAAGAATGGAATCTTACTTCAAATGAGCATACAAAATAGTTATAGAGATCATGGAGTTTCAAGATAATGATAGATATGATCTCATTATATGTGAACAAGTTACATAAGAAAAAATGCTACTTTTCATTTTATGAAAGCATTAGTCAAACAACTCAAGGTAAACTAGCATACTTTAATGTTATATAACTTCTGATACATGTTCAGAAGTGTAGGACTGTCTACTTTAACACTGCACAGGAAAACTGCATTACATGAGAATAACAATACCAGATGTCTATAATGCGTTCTACTAAATGCCATAGAAAAAGAGTGTGTGTAAAATAAGAACTGACATTTATTTGTGTAGCACTGCAAAATAAATATGATCTATTTATACTTTTCCCAGAAAACTACTAGCAAGACAGGCAAGTTAAATGCATAAAACATTTTTGGTAAAAAGAGCAGTATTTTGTATTCTACCCTCTTCAGTAATGAATGATCCTATCACACTGCAAATTGTCCTCTGGCTTTTATGTTTTTGAAAAAGGTCTTTGAGTATGCGTTCAGATCTGTTTTCATTTAGAAAAGTCGTAAGAACTCTGTGCAGAATTAATGTTTTGCCCTTCTGACTTTTATCCCTCTGACAGTATGCAATCCTTTCCACTTGTTTTGCAATGAAATTTGCAAAATGGCAATGTTAATATTTATAATTAATATTTATAGTAGTAGCTCTACTTTATCAACAGTAAAATGCACATCTGCTCAACAAAGACCTTGGCAAAATACCACCTTATTACCTGCTAAGGAAACAGGAAAACTTTGTTTTCATTTTGAGCAGATGAGGCTCCAGTGCCATCTTAAACTAGGCTAGTGAACCTTACAGGAGGAGTTCTTCAACCTGTCTCCATGTCTGTATAAAAGTGAATGTTTATTGTACCCTCTTTGTTATATATGAGTAAAGTGTGTCTATGTGATCTTGTTTTCTATCTTTTATCATTATCATTGCCTTTCACTGATAGGATTAGTGCGTTTATATGATAAACACCATCAATAGAGTTTCCTAGCCATAAAAAGAAAGAATTTGATGCATGTTTTCTTTGGCTCAGTTATAAGAAACTGATATCTCCTCCCCTCCATAATGCAGTTTCATCTGGATTGCTCAAGCAAACCTTGACAGAATTTACTGGATGGAATTACCGAGAGGAGATTGTGTGAGAGCTGAAATGGTTACTGCATCATAAAAAAAAATTTCTGTGTTTATGGAAGACATTTATGTCATTTGTGCCTACCTCTTTTGAAACTAAAACCGAGTTACTGTTGGTGTAGTATAGTAGCTAGTAGGGCAATCCTATATATGTCTATTCAGCAGTAAGCTCACTGAAGGAAATTACTATTTCCTTCCAGGTAAGTTAGTATGGGATTGCAATCTGAAAGCATTATCCTAATATGACTTCTCTGAATTAAGCCACACTGAGATAAACAGGAAATGTTCTAAGGTAAATTTATTGAACTGCAACCTAAGAGTTTTGCCCTACCCATGGCTAGCTAGCCTTAGGCAAACGGCTATCAGTCACACTTTCAGTTCTTCTTACTATCCCATTAGATAGGGATAGTGATAAATTATCAGCCCCTTTTGCTCAGCTTTTGTTAAGAATTACTAAGATAATGTATGTTGAATGTTTTGAACATTTTGGTTGCATTGCACACATGCTAAGCGTTATTATTACTTTAAAATTCCCAAGCTGTTTAAACTAAACATTGAACTTTTCTAAAGACGTGATTTCTGATGTTGATGTTTTTATGCTGCCTTAGGTCTTGCTAACTTGCTAGGCTTTATTAGTGGGTTATTAGTGTAAACAGCTTTGAACTTCCTAGGCAAAAAGGTATATAAATATTTAATAAGTTGCCTTCAATTTCTTAATTTTAAATTCTTTCTCAGAAGCATCCCATTGATACTACACACTCTATTCCTCCGTTTCCTATTATGTACAAAAAGTGTGTATGTTTCTGTAATGTCTGGACTAATGGTAAGGCTCCAACAACAAAAATCTGTTTAACCCGGTGCTAGTGGTGCCCCAGGGTGATGTATCCTATTTTATTTTGGGCCAGCCAACTTAGCAGATTTTAGCAAGGCATCACTTGTGGTATCTCATTATATTTTGTAGCAACTCATTTAGCTGATCTACAGTGGAGCACCATCGATAAAATTGGGGGAGCCAAAATGTAGGACTTACGGATTCTACTGAATTCTCAACCCCTGTCCCCAACAGGAATTGGGCATATAAGAGTATATGAGGACAGTGGTGGATAGTCCCACTGTTAAGCTCAACATTTCCATACGATTCCTGATTTTTTAATTTTCCCAAATTCCGATTATCATGCATTCTTCCTCCACCGTCAAATTTGCATTTTGCCACGCATATTCCTCTGAGCCAGTCTTTCCCAACCAGGCACCCGCGTGATGTGTTGAACTACATCTCCCACTGTCCATGATGCTAACACTTTCGGAGTCATCAGGTTGGGGAAGGCTGTTCTGAGCGACCCCGGTCGCCTCCTCAATAGACCCTTTTGCTCACAAGGTGGTAAAACAATATTAAAATAATCGCCATCGTATCTATAATAAAATATAAGGAAGCCCGTCGCTACCGTTAGGAAACATTATTCAAGCAAGCTACATTCGGAAACTTCAGCGCCCGCCACTGCACGTGCTCAAACGAACCTACAGCACTCGCGAAGCAAGCGCAAACGGAACCCCCGGGCTGCAATTTCCGCCACTGCGCATGCGGAAAGAGCTCTCTCTAGATGCATTCTATGCGGAAACATTCTTTGAGGGCCGGAACCAACGTTCTGCAGCCGACAGAGTCAGCCGGACCAGTTGGAGGCGAACATGGTAGTTTCCGCCTTTGGAGACAGTTTCCTTCTCTGAGTTGTGATTGTTTTCTCCCTGGCTGCTTCTGACTGCCCGCCCCGCCCCCTGTACTTCTTAGCCATGCAGCCTTACATGGTCAACATCAAGCTGTCTGCTCGGACCCTGACCGGGGCACTCAGCCCTCAGAACCGAGGAGCCGCAGACTGGTGAGCGGGAAAGGGGCACCGGGTGGGCAAAAGTGGGGGAGGAAGGGAGACCGTCCACGCCGGGAGCCGGGGCGGGGGGCGGCGGCAATGTAGTTATAGAATCGCGTAGGTGGACTTTGAAGGAAGCCGTGGCGAGATTATGAAACTTTGTGACGGTTACAGTTCGGTCGTCTGCATTTTGACCTGGAACTCTGAAGTCTTTCATAGTCTCATAAGGTTGACTTCCCAGTAAGTGTCCATAAGCAACTTTTCCCAACCTAGTGCATTGTGGTCTTCAGTTTCCAGGGACCCCAGCCAGCATGGCCGCAGTCAGGAAAGATGGGTCTTTTAGTCTAAAACTGGAAGGCACCAGATTTGGGGGAAACTGAGGTATGCTATTGCAGCCTTAATACAATGGTTATATGATGGATTTGGAAGTCTGCTCAGGCTGCAGAGCAGGTGAGTATCGTGACAGTACATGAGCGCAATTTTAAAGATAGGGATTTCATTTGATTTATTATTTATTCACATATTTATATGCCACCTATAACTTCCAGAATGGCCTCCCTGGTGGCTAACACAATAAAATAGCATAAAACAATTAAAAAGAATAAAATCATAAAACATAAAAATAGTACAATATAATAAAACCAATAAAGGTCCATCAGCACTCATAAAAGGGCTTAGATATTAAAGAATGTCTTTAAAAGGTATGTCTTCACCTGCTGCCGAAAAGAAAACAAAAACTGTGCCAGACAAATTTCCCTAGGGAGGGAGTTCTAAAGATGGGGGGGGGGCAGCAGTAGAAAAGTCCCTTCACTTATTTGCCACCCCTCTTATTACCCTGAGGGATGGCTGTCATAGAAGGGCCTCTTGAGGGGCAGATAGGTATATAAGAAGAGGACTTAGGTTAGCTTGAACAATGGATGCTTGGTAGTTCAGAGAGGGAGGTCCCAAGATAAGGATGCATGTAATGTGCACTGGTTTGAAACCCTCTTTGGGGTTATACTTTTAGGGCAGCAGTTCCCAAACTTTTTTGGTCATGGAACCTTTCTGAAGATATTTTTTCCCCATGGAACATTAACACGATCCCTGATTTTTACTGAACATTGTAAACCCACAGTGTTCTTCCGTCCTTCATCTGCTCCTATTGCCTGAGTGCTTTGCACAACGTAGTAGGTTTGGAAATAAAGAGAAAATTATTTAAATATAACAAATGAATATTGCAATTATATGGTAACATCCCAAATGAATTCTTTCAGTTATTCCCAACACTATGCAATAGAGTTCTAGGAACCAATTGATGTGATGCATTTTCTTGTTTGCTGCTTGGATGCCAGCTGACAATCGAATGGTTGGCCTCATGTGGTTTCATTTTAAAATCCATTTTTAAATTTGATTTTTGAGACTTTTTGTGGAACCCCTACGAGGCTTTTGCAGAACCCTAGGGTTCCATGGAACACAGTTTGGGAACTTTTGTTTTAGAGTATATGTATAATATATGAGCGACCCAAAGGTTGCTATGCTATTTATTCTGCCCTCAAAGTCAGAGGCTTCTGATTGTTGGGAGCATAGAGAGCATGGAGCATAGAGGCAGTCTATTTGCCTGTCTAGCAATGGTGCATCAGAGTGGGAGGGAAGGAGAAGGGACCTTAGGATAGTTTGTCTGGTCTTCTCTCTGCCCCTTTCCTTTTTCTTTGGGGTCATTCTTCCAACCTGGAGGCATGATTCCATGATTTAATTTCAGCTTTGCCTATCACTTGTTGGTAATATAGCAACATGTTTAGTACAGTACGGTGGGTAAGAGCATGGGATGAGGTCAGTTCCCTTATTTCTTTATCCACAGCTTCTTTACTTCTTTATAGCATATTCGTGACCACAATGGAAAGTGGGCATTATAATGTAAACTTACTTTATAGGTTTGTTGTAAAAATTACTGAAATAATTTAAAATTTCAAGCATGATATTATGGAAGTTTATATATTATTTATATGTAAGATTGCAAATTATTTCAAATATTCATTAAATAGTTTTGAATATGCCCAGCTGCACTCTTTGCATTCAGAAACCTGCAATAAATTTAATAAAGTATATCAAAAATGAGAGAAAGGATCACGATATTGCTGGTTTGTAGGATTATGAAGTAGTTGAGTTTAGTCTCTTCTGAATGATATTTAGTTAAAGAGAACATGAGTAACATGCCCTAAATGTCAGTGCAATGAGACATTGAACATAAAGGAACATCCAGTAAAAAGATAATGAAGGAATGCAGGTCAATGACCATGATGAAAAAAGATGCAAGACTGTGCTGCTGGAGAACCAAGAAAAATCTTACTATAATTATTCAGTAGAATAATTAGGATAGAATAATTAGGGAATTCCTGCTGGTATGCATAAGAGTAGCAGCCAAAAGACTCTTCCAGTCTGTAGTGAGGTCATTCCTGGGGTGGTAGTTGCAGGCAGTAAGAGGTGCTGGCTTGAAACATTGGTGTGCTCCAATAATTTGTTTTATAATTATAAGTTTAATCATGCATTTTACAGTTTTTCTGATTTATTTTTTCTGATTTGTGTGATTCAGCTATAGCATGTCTCTGAAAATTCACTGAAATTATTATTATTATTTCATCTGACTATGATTATACTTTTCCAGGGGCTGGCAAGGGTTGATTGCATATGGATGCCATTCTCTTGTTCTAGTGATTGATTCTAAGACTGCTCAGACCCTCCAGGTTTTGGAAAGGCACAAAGCTAATGTTGTCAAGGTAATTTAAAAAATAATCTTCATAAAATGTTCATTATCAACTTTCAATGCAAATTACTAAAATAAGCAAGCAGCAATTCTTCCTGTCAGCAACATCCCCTTACCCATTGCAACCTATAATGTTTAGATAATAGTTGGGTTTTACATTTAACAAATAACTTGCAACAAAGCATATTTAATATATCTTTACCCACCTTAGGGGAGTGGTCCAGTTCAGGGTTCCAGGTAGCCATTATGTCCAAACAGGGCATTCAATTCCCACCCTCTAGTTTTCTGTTTTTCTTTTCCAATGAACACTTAACTTTCTGTGGATACGGAAAGTACTCAATCCACACAGGAAGTAAGGGTTGCCCTGATGAATTATTAAATTTAGTCTTTCTGTAAATCTTGGTTTTCCCCTCAATATGACGATAACCTACTCCTGTTTCTCAGTGACCCTATGTTAGCATCATAGGTTATTTAATTTCTAATTGCCATATAAAAAAGACCCTGGTGTAAATGTATTTGTTAGATCTTTATGTTTTCCCAGTTCATGCCTCATCTTATTCCTCTAGAGATAGCACAAGATTTTTTCCTACTATAATTTCTTGATTATTCTGTATTATCTATGAAAAATAATCCAGAAATGTTTTATAATTGTATTTGTTAGAAATGACCTTCAGCTTTACTTACCTTCTTATTTTTAGGTTAAGTGGGCTAAGGAAAACTACCACCACAATGTTGGATCACCATATTCTTTGCGCTTGGCTTCTGCTGATGCCAGTGGAAAGATAATTGTTTGGGATGTAACTACAGGAGTTGCTCACTGTGAAATCCAAGAGCACACAAAGCCCATTCAGGGTAAGGAAACTGCTTTATTTGCATACCACAAAACATTGCCATTACTGCAGCTGCTGTTAGTGTTATTAGTTTACTTTTATATTCCACCTTTATAATACATTTATAATAAATGCACTTACTATCTAGAAGAAGAAATAATGTTAAGTAGTCAATCTTTCCACTCCTGTTTACAGGCAAGAAATTCCTATGTGTACTTTTCCTTGCACAGAAGATGCACTCAGTACAGTTGCTGAGATGTTATTATTTTAGGGAACATTCCTATGCATATTTAGATAGAACCATCTCTGAAGAATGCTGGAAGTTGTAACACTTTCTTCTGTCTAAGCATGCCCAGAATTGCACATTTACTTGCTCTGTTGCATAGGGTTTAAAAAGGGTTAACACATCTTAAAAATAATTTAAACATTTGTACTTCAGGTTTTTTGAGAATGAAAGGATATTATTTTAAATTGTGAAATGATCTATAGTCTTTCTGTAAAAGATAAATTTGTAATTCTGTATCTGCTTACCTGGAAGTATGCCCCACTGAATAAAATGGGATCTATTTCTGAGTAGATATTTATAGGCTTGCTGAGATTAATGGGGCTTTATTACATCATGAAATGTTCTGGGAAATTTTTATGAAAGATAATGGTTAGAAATTATTTTAATTATCTTTCTGTGTGATTACAAAAATCATTAAGGTTGTAATACACTTAACTGAGAGCAGGTCCCACTGAAATCAGTGGAGCTTACTTCTGATTAGATATTTATAGGCTTGTTGAGATTAATGGGGCTTCATTTTACAACATGAAAAGTTCTAGAATCTTTATATGAAAGATAATAGGTATTTTAATTATCTTTTTAATTGATTACACAATCATTAAGCTTGAAATTCTTTATATGTTTAACTGAGAATGGGCCCTACTGAACTCATTGGGACCAACTACTGAGTAAATATTTATAAAACAGCTTAATTCAATGGTTTGAGGCGCCTGTTTATTTATATTAGTCAATACTTGCAGAGGTGTATTTACACTGACTTTTCTAGGCCTGATACATACAGAAAGTGATAGCTCATTCTTCAAGACAACCCTAAGCATGTTGAACACTGAACTTCAGGAGATGTCTGGCTGTTGCTGTGCAATAGTGATTAGCTACATTTCAATTGGTAGACTGGTTCCTGGTGGTTCCTCATATCAGTCAACCAACCACAGGCACACTCAAGATTGAATACTCAACTTTATTGTCTTTTCCTCAGTGGTAGTACCTGCAGATATAGTGATTAAGGTTGTTTCTTTTCCCAGTGTTAAATGTTGTAGGTTACAAGCGCCCACCTTCCCCAAAACAGCCAATAACTTCTTTCTCCTGATGACATCTCTTAACCACGCCTGTGAAACGAACACTGGGGAATACTGATAAACATTGTAGAGTGATATATAAAAATGAAACTTTGTAGAGGGAGAATGTTGCATTCCTGTCCATAGTTACAAGCATATGATTATAACAATGTTGCATCTTTTCATATTGTGGTGAGCTACATTGCAGATATATACTATTATATGTAATTAATTAGTCAACACATTTTAAATAATGTTATGACATTGTGCATTTCTGAAACCTTTTTCTTTTGAGCGTAGTTTACAACTGTTTCACAGTGGGTACTTCAAGAGAGACTTTTGACTTGAATCATTTTTACATATAAATGTGTGGGTGTTTGTGCTTATGTTTATGTTTATTAGCTATGTAGGACAGCTACTAGTGACAATTCTGCCAATAGTAATAGCTAGGTTCTTGGGCAGCACAGGTATGTCTTCAGATCTGTATATCCAAATCACCCTTGCTTCCACAGAATGGCCCTAGAATAGGTCTTGTATATGTACTAGCTTGGAGCCGGTGTAGGTATTTTCCTTCCCATTGGAACCAACGATAGAGAAATTGAAATAAAACAAAGATCCATCAGGACAGTAAAAGGCTTTAAAATGCCTCACATACAGACACCTTTATTGGCCATCTTGACACAGAAAGCTGGAATGGCTTTGGAAGTGGTGGGTCACTTGTCACTTAACTCCTCTCCCCCGCCACCCACACCCAGAGCTGTACTGTGTGTGTTTGTGTGTACACACTACAGAAATCAGTATATTCCAGACCAACATTTTATTCTTAATAATATTACTTGGCTTTTTGAATTGATGTAATTGGAACTTGTTTATGAAGAAGGTGCTTCTATCTCAGTATTCCTTGGAGGAGGAGTACAGTTAAAGAATTATTTGATCTGCAGTTAACATTAAAAGAAGTGAAAATGTTAGCTTTTAAGTTTCACACTCTGCTAATTGGCAGCAGTTGGTCTACTTTTAAGATCTTAAGAAAATATATTTGTATTATATTATTATATCATGTATTATATTGCATTATTGGATGCCCCATCAATATGATAGATGCTTGAGCAAACGTAAAAGCCTGTTTACACTATTTTTCTCTTAAATGTCAAATTTCCATGTTAACTCTCTCTAATACGTCTCAGCTCCCTTGTACATTTTCCCCTGTAGCAAGCTGTGCATCTCCTGTTGTTTACAGTACTACCCACATTACTTATTATCATCACAGTTATAGAAGTGTTTTATTCCTGAAGTAAAATTTGCAGCATCTTGATGGGATGAACATTCCAACATGGTCTTCCATGAATAATTGATAGTTTGCTTGCCAAGTTGTCTCATAAAACTTTTCATGACCCAGAATGACCCAGATATTTTTCTCCTTTAACTACATTGCTTGAAATGCTGCGGGAATGATTTGATTTTTTTCTTGATTGCTTCTTATGATGAAGTGGAAATGATTCGGTCACAACTTAAACACACAGTGCTTTATGTATCTGTATAATAAGGTGTTTAAATTCTACACATGTTTTACTATTGCTGTCAGGTTCTGATTCTTCTGCTGTAGTTTATTTGATGGTGTCATCTGCAATCTACCCAAAATGGACGCATTGTACCTAACTTCCAGTAACAATTCTAGTTTTAGCATTTTTATATATAATTTCCTTTATTAATTTTAGCTAAGGATCTTTTTTAAAAAATCTGACAGTAAGTTTTCTTATCAAGCAGTTAGTGAGAGTGATAAAAGGTAAAGGTGAAGTGAGACAAAATATAGCTTAGATTTCAGGAAATGAGAAACTGTATTGTGATCTTATTTTTTAGTGGCCAGCCTGGAGTTTTGTAGATTGCATGTAATATGCTTAATTAGGTGGGAAGAGATCCAGTGGTGTGTAAAGAAAAACTCATGTGTTTCTAGGCCACAGGTAATGGCTTTTAGACAGTTGCACACAAAGGACTATGATTGTAATCTTCTGTACATTTGCCTAGAATATGTACCATTGAGTTCTGTAGGGCATACATCTGTGTACACATGTAAAGAATTGCCCTGTAAATGTCCTCTTGAAATGTGGGCATACAGACAATTTACTCAATAAAGAGAAAATTCTTTTGCTCAGTCTTGCACAAACTAACTCATTCAAGTCTTTGATCATTGTGAATAGTTTAGACTCTAATGGAAGAATGGTGGGGAGCTTACTGAGATTCAACAGGTAGTAGAGTAAACTTTTGTGGTGTCAGAAAATCAAAATGGGTTCTTGAAATGCTGCCAGGTCCTCATAGCCTTTAGCTTGTTAAGAAGAGGGCCAGAGATAATTGCCTTGACATTGCCTCCCCTAGCATTCTGTAGATAATGCAAAATAAGGTGAGAATGCAGTGGTCACCTACCCAAAACAGCTTTGTTCCCAGGAAAAGGTGGAAGGAGCATAGGTGCATCCTGATAGGCTTTGCAGGAGTGGGAGAGAGAAACCATATGACATTGATGGCAAGAAGTGTTTTTCATTCTTGCTCTGGGGTGAAGGATTGACATGTCGCTTGACCAGGCACATTTGGAGGCCCATAGGGCACCCCTGGGCTGTTAAGGTAACCAACAGGCCAAAGAAAGGGAGTGAAGGCTTTTTTCTACTTGTTTATTAACAATTTGCACCCATATTTCATCACTATATTCAATAGACTGCATTTCCTCTTTGACAGAGGTGATTTTGTGTCTTCCTAAATGTTCATGAACCTAAAGTAGGATGCTTTGACTAGACCAAATCCCCATGGTCAGAACACTTCCTTATCATTCTTCTGGTAGAGCCTGAACAATACAAAATGGATGCTCAGAGGACAGATGCCTAGCCTATACTAGACTGCCAGAAAAGCTAGCAATGACATTTTGGGGGACAGTCTCTGTTCTGAAGTTCTCAATGACATTGGGAAGCATTTCTGATTCCCAGTTCTACCACACATAATGCTGGGGCAACTATGGTGCTCCTTATGGTGCGCCATACTCCTTATGAATCCTTATTGGCACTGCCGTTGCAAGCAGTAATGACTGTCACTGCTTGGGGCAGGACCACTTCACTGGAAAAGGAAAAGTACTCTGTATGCATAACCTGTGTCACAAACAAGAAACCACTGTTAAAACTAGATTTGGAGAAACAGAATGGCTTCCTATGGGAAAAGGTATCAGAAAAAGTTGAATTTTATCTTCCTATCTTTACACAGAAAATATCATAAGGAATGCTGGATTAGGGTCAAGGAAGGAGTGAAAGTTGGTGGAAGATATGGCAATAATTTAAGATATGTAAATGATACCATAATAGTAGCAGAAAGCAACAATGAATTAAAAAACTCTTGATGAAAGTGAAAGACGTGCAAAAGTGGTTCTGCAATCCAATCATTAAGAAAACCAAAATAATGGGAGGGCCAACTATGAGACAAATCAGTTCCATAAAGGAAGCCACAACGAAAGGAAAGGAAGGAAGCCTACACGAGATGAACAGGGCTGTTGAGGGCAGGACATTTTGGAGCCAATTTATTCATAGGGTCACCATTAGATGAAGATGACTTAGCAGCAGATAAAACAACTGTTGGGTAGGCAAAATAGTTGTTGCCCACTAGCAAAAACATGATTTATCCCTTTACTGAACATTCATGAAGCTCTAAGTCACTATCTTATTTTTGTTATTAATTTTGATTATATGCTTTTGTTAGTTAAACAAAATGGATGTTAAAAAAAATTGCTGGCCATTATGCTGAAGTTGCTTGATTTTTAATGTGTTTAAGTAGGAATTTCTTGAATGAATTATGGCTCTTCATGGACATTAGTCAACATTAATTTAACCAGATCTAGACTAAGATCAAAATGTCACTTGGAAGAAGTCTGTGATCTTCAGCAGAATTTCCTTTCAAACGTAGACTCTGCACTATTTGGCAAACTATTTGCTATAAATAACAAAATATTGGCAGGATGTTTGTGATAGATAATTTATTCTGACTTCTGTTCTGGAAACCCAGAAGATGAAAAGATTACTGTTCTTAATTACAAATTTTTTCCCCTTTTTTGCTGCCCTACCCCTTTACTTTTCACAGACATGCAATGGCTGTGGAATCAGGATGCCTCTCGAGATCTGCTACTTGCAGTTCATCCACCAAATTACATTGTGTTATGGAATGCAGATACTGGCACCAAACTCTGGAAGAAAAGTTATGCAGAAAACATCCTTTCTTTTTCATTTGATCCCTTTGATCCTTCAAATTTAACATGTGAGTACGATCCTAGAAAATTATGCATCCAGAAAGCATCCAAAAATTTGCTGTTGGATCCTAACTGGCAAAGGGCATAGAAATGAAGTAAGAGAAATGAGAGAGAACACAAGGGGTTATTTAACCTTTGGAATAACTTGTTAGAGAGAACTGGTGTGTTTGTGCGGGGAGGTGGGCATCAAATCTGAAGTGCTCAAATGAGCACATCCTTAGTGGAGAAGAGACAGGTAAAATATAGGGCTGACTCTGGCCATATTCACACAGTGTGCTAAACCAGCCCAGCCTGCTGCCCTCCAGATGGGCTGCAGGAAATGCTGATTGGGAGTGATGGGAATTGCAGTGTAACACATCTGGAAGATTCTAGATTGCAACACTACACATGGCATTGCCATCATTTTAAGTAATGTAAGCAAGTAGGAAAGAAATACAGTGATCTCTGGCTCAGGCCTTCTTCCCTATCACTTCTCTACCTCGCTAGAATGATGAGTTCAGAAACTTGCCCTTTTTGCTTCATGTGGGTATTTGTATTGTTCATACCCAGGATTGTGATCATTCTCAACTATGGATAGTTTAACAAGCCAGCTTTGATAACTGTGCTTTGAAACTGACTTGTTTGAAAGAAACTGTAGTTAATGTTAAAACCAGTTCATTAATCCGAATGACAATATGGACCGGTTAGAAGGTGAAATATCCCAGTTCCCCTTAGTTAGATGGAAGGAAGAAATGGGAAGGGAGAACACATAGTTCAGAATATCACTGCAACTTGTTCATGTTCTAAGCTATGGCTTAGTATGACAGGTGAATAGAGCCAGTGGCATAACCAAAGGCACATTCTTTCCCTACCCAGGTATACAACTGCTTGGTTCAGAGAAAGCAGTGGTTAAGATTTTCCTAGATAAAAACCTTCTTCTCCCAGGCATTTTAACTTTCAGTTTTGTTGTTCTTAAACCTGTTATTGCATTTTAAATGTTTGTGCTTCTGCTCTTTTTTATTTTATACAGCATTTTATTGCATTGTATTTCATGTTTTTAATTGTAGTGAACCATCTAAAATGCTTTGACTATTAGGGGGTATTGAAATGTAATAATAAATGGTACTGTGAGACTGCACTCATTGGTTAGATCAACTGGAGTTGTTTGTCAGATTGTAAAAATGTAAATGATTTCTTTCAACATCTTAATTAAAATGTAATTGTTTATATATTTTTAGTATTTATATATAATTTGAACATGTTATACATACATGCCTACTGTGTTTCCCTGAAAATAAGACCTAACCAGAAAATAAGCCCTAGCATGATTTTTCAGGATGCTCATAATATAAGTGCTATCCCCAAATTAAGCCCCAGTTAAGATTGTCAGCCAGACAGACAGGAAAACATGGTAGTACATCCGTTGCAACACACTATCAACATATTGAATTATAAATAATATATAATTAAATATAAATAATATTATTGACATTAATATTTAAAATAAATGATAATGTACATTATAATTAGGTGTTTGTAAATACCGAAGTGGGCGCCTTTAGACGAGAAGTAACTTCCTGTGTAAACATGAATGTGAGACTTATTGCTGAATGACCAGAGTACAGACACAATGCATGAATAGTATCAATAGGTTGTATGTTGCAACAGATGTATTTATTGCATGGATGCAAAATGCAAGAGGGGTGCAAAAAGAAAGCTATTCCGAGTACAAGAAAGGAATTGTGGAGGACTCTTGGGGCAAGAATCTTATGGCTTTTGTAAGAAAAAATAAGGCATCACCTGAAAATAAGCCCTAATGCATCTTTTGGAGCAAAAATTAATACAAGACCCAGTCTTATTTTCAGGGAAACACCGTAGGAGATCTTTTCAAGGAAGAGTACTACTGAGCATACTCAATAAAGTCCCACTGCATTAAGTGGAACTTTCCTTCAACTCATTTATGTATGGTTGCCGCCTAAAGTTTTTAAAGATAATGCACATTAAACCCTCTTCCAAAAAATGTAGGTTCTGAGTTGAAAGCTTTATGATATAATGCTACATTTGGTGATCTGTTCTTTGGTAATACTATATTTCTGAAGGGCCTTGGATTCTTAAACACTGGTATCATTATTTCTTCATTTCTGGTATGCTGAACTAATTTAGAGGTCAGACTTGTCTGTCAGTAATCATAGCCTCTACTTTTAATATAAAAATCAGAAGTAATTGTTACAGCTAGTCTGTTGAGGCTAATGAATGACTATTGATCATGTATTGCTCTTTATTTCAAACATACTGATATAATTTAAGCATTCATAAAAGTGTTATCACTTTTAACTGTAGAAATATAAGTGAAATGCTATTATGAACATTTCCGTATTTTTTCTTTTTTACAACAACTGTTTTTTCTTTCTGCAGTGCTGACAAGCGAGGGAATAGTGTTCATTTCAGACTTTTCTCCTTCCAAGGCTCCTGTAAGTTCGGGGAAAAAAGTTTACATTTCCAGCCCCCATTCTAGTCCTGTTCATAACAAGCTGGTATCTGCTACAGGGGCTAAAAAGGCCCTGGACAAAGTAAAAATTCTCATCACTAATGAAAAACCAAGGCAAGTATTAAGGACATGTTTTCTGTCATGTTCACAAAACGTTTTCCTTCTGGATGAACTTGTGTAATGCCCATATTAGTAGACATTTTAACTGGTTTGTCTCTTGTGTAGTAGTTTGTAAGAAGTCAAAAAGGGGATCAGGGTAAGAACAATATTTACTTTTTGCCACCATCAGAGGTAGACCAGCCCTACCAATAGGTAAGGGAATGTACCTCACCATAATTTCCAGATTCTGCAATGCTGTTGTTGGATAGTAAATTGTTACTTATCTAGTAGAAGAAGACGACAATTTGATGATTTTACTGTGGGTTGTATGTGCTTGTGACATTTGGTTGGTCTTAATAATTTCTCAATGATGGATTTATTATTTTCATGGAGCAGTGTAGCTGTTTTGTTTTGCCTTTTAAATTAAAACTTTGTAATTATAATAAACTATTATAAACTATAAAATAGTTTATTATAAACTGTTTAACTACTTGTAGTTTATAATATAATAAATTACTATAAACTACAAGTAATTTTAAAAAGTCAGTAGTTTTCAAACAAAAATCTTTGAAGGTGGTAGTTCTTGTGCCTTCCTCTTCTCCCTCCCTCTCTCTCCCTCCCTCCCTCTCTTTCTCTTTCTTTCATATTTATGGCAGCAGCCAGAAACATAATAAATGCATGAAAACAGTTGCAGAATTGTACTTAGGGTACCACTTGTTCACCAATGGTGAACTTGTTCTGCATGTGTGTGAAGGAAGTTTTCAAAAGGCATAGTTTGCTGGTTAACTCCCCTGTATGTCGCTCTTTCAAAATGCTAAGGGCATCTGCAAGAGTATGTCATAGGAATATGGGAAAGATTCTGCTGGCTTGTATTACATCCAATAAATAATGTAGGTGCCCATTATTTTAAATATGATTATGATTTAGAACATTTTTTTTAAAAAAAATGTTGCACTAAAACATGATCATTGTATTTTCATCATTTTTTCTTAGCTAAGTTGCATGTGGCACAGTTTTCCTTATTTGTTCCTTTTACTATCATGAATACCTTTATATTTATGAGTAATTGTGGGAACAAATTCATCAGACTGCATTGTGAATCAGTACTTATACCTGATGTTACTGGCTGTATAATATCAGGGCTTTAATAAAAGCATTATATTTCAAACAAAAGGCTTGATGCCATCTCATTTTGCAATTCTTTGCAAAATATTATCATTTTATGCTGGCTTAAAGAGCATGGAAAACCCATGTCTTTTCAGAGCGCAGAACTCTCAGAATGATAGCAGTGAAACTGGCTCTGCTGCTTTAGTCTCTTTGTAACAAGTGCACTTTTATATATTTGTCAAAGACTGACAATAATATATATTTTTAAAAATATAAGCTTGTTTGCTCAATTTTAAGGGACTAAACAAGTTACAATTACTCCAGAATGCCAGCTGGGGTTCAATGGAGGTAGTCACTAGAAGCAACAAGAGTGGTAGAGGGATGTCAGTTTTGTTAAACATGTGTGTAGTCAATTCCAGGAACCTGTGGTTACATATTTCTCCCAGCTTTGGATGGCATTGGGGTGTGAACAACCCTTAGAATAAGCCATGGGTTGTCAGATTGACTTAGTCATGAAAAATATGGCTGAAAGTCCCCTGTGACTATCTGCCTTCAATGGGTTTCTGTGCTGTGCTAACCAGGTCACCATCATCCACTTTCTGAAACAGCCTGGTAATACCCCATTGGTGGATTTTTAGTCATACTGTCTGAATCTAGCATTCTGTGTTGTTGAGGGTTAAACAGCCCGGTGTTTGAAAGCATGGTTTGCAGTGACGTGTGGATGCAAAGCTGAAATAACGGGTGGGCAGGAGGCAGCACTTGCCCTCCTACCCAGACAGTATGTGTGAACCAGGTCAACAAAAGTTTTTTTGCTTCACATAGAAGCCAGTGCTTTACTCTGACGTTCTTAAGGATGTGATGAGACGGTATTTCTAAAGCATTATCGTGAAAATAATGAAAATAAAAGAACACAAAATACGCTTAGTTGTTGTTTGCAAATAACATATCTATTTACTTTTGTCATGGATTCCATTTTGGTTATCTAAATGCTACCAGTTTTGCAAAAGGCTGGCCCATGTGCTGCTAAAATATGTTAATAAGACTTGTTTGTGATATGTTTAGTGCTGAATCAGTAACACTGAATGACTGCCTTCAGTTGTCCTACCTGCCTTCTAAACGAAACTACATGTTGTTACTCTACCCAAGAGAAATATTGATTCTTGATCTGGAAGTAAACCAGACAGTAGGTGTAATAGCAATTGAAAGAACAGGAGTGCCTTTTCTACAGGTAATGAATCTTTGTTCCAAATGTGTGTGCATGTGTCTTTTCCTTTTATGCTGAATTAGATTATTAAAAAACCATGATTCCCTATATTTACTGTAGACAATGTATTTGACATTGGGGGAGACTTGATTTGTGGTATAAATGTTATCCCAGTGCTAAATAAGCTAGTTTTGACTGAAAAGCTTGGTATAAAGTTAACTTCATTTTACTTCAAAGTATCTCTTAAAGCTTTTGTCATAACTTAAAACCTTGCCTAAAGTTTATTTGCTCTATTTTCCTAATGAAATACCGATGTTTCTCTTAATAGACTGGATTACTGTAGTAATTATCCAAAAGAACAGGTGTGAGTCAGTGAGGAGTATAAATTCAAATCGTTTGGGGAAAAATAAGTGCTACAACTATAACTAACATTTTGTTGCCACTTTGGACTCCTTATCAGCACTTTGCCAAATGATGATTGCCAACTGGAGGCTTGCAAGTTGTGGAGAGCACATAGACCCTGAAATAGAGAAATATCAGCTAAGTCAGATACAGCTAGCACTTGCAGTGACTTCATAGTTTTGGGGGATGGTTATATTCTTGCAGTTGACATGTAGAAAAGTAATAAACACTATGGGAGAAAATTGGAGCCTAGCATGGCTGCATATTTAATTCCGTTCCCTAAAGTCTGTTGCAAATTCTGCCTCATTTAACATTATAAAAATTACTAAAGTGGAAACAATCCTATGGTGAAAGGAAATCTTATTTTATAGTTGTTTAGATGGTTTCTCAATCAGTGACACAAGCTTTTTTGAGCATGAGGGCTTATCTCAGCTTATTTGATCTTATGGAGCGCATTAATCAATGTGAGCCAGAAAAATTAAAGCTAAACATCACAGCTATTGTAAATGTCTGAGAATAAAGCATGTTCAGTCATGTGGATAGCATAAATTTATGATGGCAGAAATGGTGGCATTTTGAAGGTATTCATTAATACAAAATATAAAATCCCACTCAAAGTCACCTTCATGTGATTCTTACATCAAACATGTAAAACTTTTATAAAAATAACAGTGACTCCCTCCACTTTTAGAAAACTCCTAGATGAGATTATGAATGATAGGAAACATGGGCAGTCAAGTTCTTGTATATACTTAATCAATTGGGCAGCCAGGGCTCTGCAAATTTGCTTCAACTAGGTTTTCACAGTGTTGTTCCTCAAGTGAACTTTGTCCTGCTGCATACTGTTATGGTCCAGTTCAGGTACACTTGAAGCCAATTTGAAGTAACTTTAACCATTCCACTCATTAATTCGTATGGAATTTGTTTTGGTCTGTGTTTAATGCTGATGACACAGCTCTCTTAGTAATATAAACTTGTGGTTCTTGTCTCTGTTTATCTAGGTAATTCCTTGTTTTCAGCGTGATGGGTTGTTCTGTCTACATGAAAATGGCTGTATAACTTTAAGAATTCGCAGGTCTGCCAATAGTTTAAGTGTTACACCAAATGAAGATCCAGGTGATTGTGCTGCTCATATTTAGGAAACTAGATATCCTGTATTTGAAATTATGAAGTTAAGACCATAGCCCAGATTTGCCTTTGCTGTTGATCTGGATTGTGGAACTAGCTTCCCAAACAGATGTGTCTGGAGCCTGCAGTTTATTCTTTTCAGTGCCAGACAAAATTTATTTACCCAGTATTTTAATAGTTAAATTATTATCTCTGTCTTTTAATCTTGTATTTTATCTGGCACTGCTGTTACACCTCTGGACTGATCTGATTCACAGTTGCTCTGTGTTCATTGTTACCATTTCATTCAATATATTATAGATATTGATTGAACTATTATTGATTATTATATATCATTGTTTATTTTGTTTGATTGTAAATTTTAATATTGTGAACCACCCAGAGAACCTTTCTGGCTGATGGATGGTATAGAAATTTATAAACAAACGAACAAATAAATAAAATATTGCTCAAACTTGAGCTATTAGTTGGCCTGCTAACATGGATATTTATAGTATATCAGTATAGCTTGAGGGTACTTTAAGGCCTAATGCAGGTAGTTTCCCTACAAGATCTTGTTTTATACTCTCATCTGAGTAAAGAGGTGGACAGAGATTTTTCAAAATAGATGTGAACAAGATACAAAGGACGCATGTTGTAGATGTTGTAATAAACATACAGTATTTGTTCTCATATGTTGGTCTCTAGTAAATTATTACTATATCCTTTAGTGTGTCTGCTTATTCTCCAGTAAATGGTGCAAGTGATGACTTAGCACTTGTTAGAAATCTCCCAGGCTCCTGTACTTGCCTACTCGATATTATATCAAAATGCTGTCATTTCATATCCAGTTGAAAATGTAGCAGTGAAAACCAGAAGAATAGTAATAGCATTTGTTTATTTCTCTGGTATCTGAATTGTGATATCTGGTATTTTGACATTTACAGACCCCGATCCCATTCAGGAGCTGGTCTATGACTTACGAAGTCAGTGTGATGCCATCAGGGTTACCAAAACTGTTCGCCCATTCAGTATGGTGTGCTGTCCAGTGAATGAAAATTCTGCAGCTCTCATAATTAGCGATGGTAGAGTGATGATATGGGAGCTGAAGTGCACCTTTTCAGGCCGAAGTCTACGTGCTAGGTAACCTGTTTGAATTTTTCATTATCTCTTTAATTGTACACGCAGAATACATAAAAATGATTATGCTGCTGCATTTCTAATACTAGAAACCATGATAAGGATGATGCAGCAAGTTTTGAACAGTTTTCATATTCTACAAATCTACATGCTGAAAAAATAATTGCACGGATAATTCTGCTACCAAGATCTAAAGGCAACTTAGTAAAGCAAAATCCAAAGCAGTGTGCATGGAATGGTAACCCTCTGTTTTGTAAAAGAAATACGTTAGGGCTTGTCATGAACAAGGGCAGTATGGTGGCTTATTACTCTGCCATTGGGAGCAGCTATATGATTCATGTGTGAACCAGGAATGCTACCTTGTCTCCCCTGACAAGCCAGAGCAATAGTGTGTGGCTTATTTCTCTTGTTTTTTGGGTGATGGACAAGCCAGAGTTCCTGGTCCTCATATAATACTAAAGAAACCACATATAGGAAACCTATGGGTTATTTACTCTCTAGCACTTACAGGACAAACAACAACTTTGTCCTGCAAGGAGCATTTGTCCATTTGCCCTGTAAACTGGAGCAGACAACCCACAATTTTGTGGCTGTATCTGTCAGAGACATATGCACCATTTCAGGAGTACTGTTGGGGTGGAGACTTGTCCTATTCCTAAACTTTTTTCTGTGTAGCTCATCCTGAATTGTATTTGTCGGTCATGCTGGAGTACATCCTCAAGTCTTACTGCTGTTGCTTTTTCCAGCAATTCAAGTGCATCACCTCTGTATTCACCCATTTCATTCTGTGGAATTCCTATTGGAGCATCTCAGAATAAGCTTCCAGACCTGTCACTTGATAACATGATAGGTAATTTTCTGTGCATGTGCATGTGTGCATGCTTGGTAGAAATCTACCAGCTGCTAAAGAGATTAATGAGGAGCTCAGATGGTAGGCAGTTGATTTCAAATGGAATGCTGAAAATTATATTATTTCCTTGGATTAAGCTTGCTTAGGATTTTATGAGAAATCTTTTGACTGAAGCTTTAAATTTTACAATAATAACTGTTTATATAGAGATGTATATATACAATAATTTATACAGCTTTTCATTTAAAAGGAAACAGCTTTTGGTATAAATTCCTTTCTTGATAAAAATGAGGATCTATAATATATATGTTGTCAATATATTTTGTCATTGGGGTAGAGGGTGAGGCCAGGGTAGCATGTGCCCACATACATATATTCTGAATGTTCCATTCATTTTGTGTTAGGTGAATAGCAGACTGCCTCCCTGGGATTACCAAAGATTCATTTTTCTGTGTTTTATTTTAAAAATTAATTGTTCTTTGACAGCACAAAGTTAGATCATTGCAATGAAATGGAAAGTACAGAAATGAAAGGATTTGAAAGATGCAATGAATCCTGCCTAGTTAAGTTTAAACTAACATAAAATAAATGTTTTGTACATTATGGGTCAGTTTGGTTTTGCTTTGCTTTTGTTCTTTGTTTAAATCTATGTCTTCTAAAAACAGAAGCGAAAGAACACTTTGTACACATTTCTGCTTGAAGCTACTCTTGGATAACAACAATGTGAAAGGATGATTCTTACTGGAACTGAATGAGCACATAAAGCTTATCTTTCTAAAAATATTGCTAAGTCTATATAAATAATAATTATTAGAAAGATGACATTTTTTTCAGTTTTGCATTTGATAATCATCTATTGCCAAATCATGCAAGCAAGCAATGTTTTGTTGTCTGTTTACAATAAAACAGGGCAAGGCATACTTTCCACGGAAGAGCAGCTAAGAAGCTATTGTTTACAAGAAGTGCATTTAAAGTTTCTGCTAACAGGGCTTCTTTCAGGGCTTCCTTTGCCTCCATTTGCTATCCGCATGTGTCCACCTCTTACCACAAAAAACATAAAACATTACCAGCCTCTCCTTGCTGTTGGTAAGTTACCTTAGATAGTAATATTTTGTATGGTTCTCAATTGACTCCAAACCCTTGTGAGGCCTGCAACCACGGATTATTTTCTAAAACAGACATAAAATATGGATCCCACTGAAGCTGGCAGCTAGTTACAAAGCTTACTTTCTGCAATCTATTAATGAAAACCTTTGCTGCATACCTTCCTCTTGACTGACTACTTGATAGTGTACCTGAGTAATTTCACTGAATTACAATGTCAGCTACTGTAAATAATAGTAGTTTAGTAACTAAACTATGTTTAGTCAGCTGTGTGAAACTTCAGGAAGACTATTTCCTGGCAAAATAGCATGTCACTGAGCTGCCTTAGTCCTTGAATTATTTTTCAAAACATTGAAACAAGACTTAAACAAGGCTGTTTGCGGCTCCTCCTGTTCTTGGATATTTCTGCTATGTGGTAGCATTTTAGTTTGTGTCCTATTCTGAGCCAAAGGCATAATGAGGCTAACAATGCTTTTCTCAACTAATTGATATATAAAATGCTGAAAATGCAGTAAATTAATCAACTAAATGTCTGACTCCAGCTAAATATCTACTTGACTCTGGCTTCAGAACAGCAGTAAGCTCAGAAAGGTCTGACATTATTTTAATGGAATGTACTCTTGAAACAGGTTTAGTGAAGCGTCTTCTGCCCTAAGCAATTAACTGATTTAAGGTGCAACATTTTCATGTTCAGATAGATGAAAAATCTGGAAAGGATCAGGAAAATAGCTTCCCCAGCCATGCTATGTTTTAGGACTTTTATTTCCTTCAAAACACACTTAGCATTGCAGCCTTAATAAAAGGTAGTGGAACTAAACCCTTGTTCTTCTGTAGAATACAAATAGTGCCTGCTCACTCTGTCATAGCTTGTCTTGGCTAGAAATATTCTGAGAAGTCCTGCTCATTTGAGCTCAGCAAACCTTTAATCTAATGATTAGAAGCAGGAAGAATTGAGGCGTTTGAGCTTTCCTAAGATGGGCCACTGTTTGCACATTTTGCTAAGGAAATTTGTGCAATTTAAGTAACTTTACGCAGTTTGTATAACTTTATGCAAATTTCTTACATCGTAGTATTTTGAATGTTCTATCCAAATCACCACCAAAACAGCACATAAAACTGTCGTAGTTTGCATAGAACATGCAAAATACTATGGATTCCACAATTTGCATAGATAAAAAACTTTTGTAAAGCTGTGCAAATGTTGCACCGTTAGTTTTCAAAAATATGCAAAGCTCATTTTAGGGATATAGAGATAGAAGTCTGAAGCTTGGTTCCGCTTGCAGCATGGTGGAATGCTTGAGTGAATTATGAAACCCCACTGGATTTTCACCCACCTGTCAGGATCCTTACAGTCTTGGCCTTATCCTGTGCAATGTATGTTTTGCAGATTCAGTAAAGTCAATTATTTGTCCAGATATTTATTCTTTCTAGTTAGCAGTTACCTAATAACATTTCCTCTCTGGGAGATGTACAGAAATGCTAAAAATGGTTTAACATCTCAACATCCATGTAAGCAACATTCTAAATGGCAGCATTAGCAGTATTATTTTAAATAATTGAGCTGTAGAAATAATGACAAGCAGCCATATGTAGCCAAAAAGCTCTATAGGATTAACCATATTGAAATATGACATAATGGCAGAGATTAAAAGTACAAATTTTAAAAGTCCTGTGAAAATAAAAAGGTATGTTTTCCGGTATCAAAGAATATTAAAGTAGATGCTAGACAAAGCTTTCTCGAGAGAGCTTTTTGTAACCAAGTGGCCCAGAATCTGTGGCAGAGTAAGTAGACTGTAGCTGTCCAGGTGAGACTTGACCTTACTGGCTGGAGCCAATATTGGAGTCCTGCAACATCTGGAGTACTGCTATCACTTCATTCTTGAGCTACAGTAACATTTTTAATTTCTTGTCACTCAAGTTGAAATTGAGGTTTACCCTGGTGGTTTTTTTCATGAGCTGTCCTAAGGAAGGACCACTGTATGAATGAAATCATTAGGTCATTGCAGCAATTCAACTTGTCTAGCAAGTCAAGCTGGTAAGTCAAAATGTCCCATCCAGCAACACATACTGCTTGGAATGAATAATGAGGAGTCTGTCTTGCAGGCTTGAACTAGTTTTTGTGATGTGCTTGGTTAAATACATAAAACACAGGGTCTGCATACTAGGAAAGGGAACCTGTTCTTTCTCAGCCAGTGTGCTGTGTTTCTGTGTTGGTCCATGAGGAAGGAGCTTTCCTCAGTTCAGGGTTAGCATGGAAATCAAGTAGGTTACTGAGAGAGAGTAGGTTGCCTGCTCCACCAGCTTTCTACATTTCTGTGCTGCCTAGGGAGGAGGAAAACATCTTTCCTTCATGCTCAAATTGAAAACCAAGTGAACTGGCAGAGGAGAGACAGAATAATCCTCCATAGAATTCTGTGCAGTCACCTGCTTTTCATTCCTTGTATACAGTGAGCAAGCAAGTTGCCAGATGGAAGGGCAGCTTACCAAAAAGATTTTCTGTAGTAGTTGGAGAGCCTGATATATAACAAAATGGCTAGTTCCTAGCTATTGAGTATGAATGAACAAGGCAAACTATATAGAATAATTAGCTTTGTTATTTTCCTAAAGTTGAAGTGTTAATATCCTGTAAATTTTACAAATATGCAAATTACTCTTTGCAGGAACAAGCAACGGCTCAGTCTTAGTGTATAACCTTACCAGTGGACTTCTGTATAAAGAACTGAGCATTCACTCCTGTGAAGTCAAGTAAGTTACTTTTAGTGGTTGGTGATCCTTTGTGGACAGGAAAAATACAGTGTTTTAAGGTGTCATAAGAAATGCAATCATTTGGTAAATTTGCAGATTGTTGAGTAGTACCACCTGTTTGTGAACACTGTTTTGCATTATAAATATTGGAATTAGTTGTGTATACATTAATAACACTGAATGTAGGCTATTGCTTTCTCTAGGAATGCTGTGGAATTATGCTAAATCAAGTTTAATAATAGCCCTATTATGTGACCAGCATATCCTTGATTCTTCTGCCCGACCATTCTTTTTTCTTTAAAATCTGAAATAGCCACAGGAGCCTGGAGTGAGGAGGGCAGCTCACTCCTTATCTTGCCTCAGGGAAAAGATATAGGGTCTGTTTCCCTGGTAACTGGGGAAAGTGAACAATCATGAATAGGGAAAGATTGCACAGACCAGTTCCTGCTGACACTCATCCACTCACCATTTTGGGCTCCTGCTGTTATCAATTTTTTTCACATTTTGTCCACTGAAGTTTATTGCTATGCTAAACCTATTTTTAAAATAAGCTATGTTGGGTTTCATCCTGGTGCCTTCTAGACATTTTTTATTTCAACCCCCATGACCTCCAGCCAGCATAGGCAATAGTCAGCAATCCTAAGAGTTGCAGTTCAAAATGTCTGAAGGACACCAGCTTGGGAAAGGCTGGTCTGGGTTTATTGGAAGTAGAGAGTGAGCAGCACTGTGAACTGAACATGTAATTGCTCAACTCGAGTTGAAGCTACCTCTTGCTATCTGGCTTCAGCCATTCCATTGAGCTGCAGAAAACGGGGGGAAGGGAAACAACCTTTTTATCACATCAGCAATTTTTATCTCCTCCTTCAATTGCATGTGCTCCATTCTTGCTGGTTTTTATAAGGACTTTGTATCTAAGCTCTAGTGCTTGAATTTGACTTTTTCCTCCTTCTGCCCAATATCTTTTCCATTTGTGCCTTTGAACTGTACGTCTGAGTTCAAGACCATCTTATTGAACTTAGAAGCTTTTCTGGTAGACTTTTTTTGTTTAAAGGCTGGAGAAATATCCTTCCAGTTAATTTTCAAGTATTTTCAATCATGCTATAACTGTAACAAAATTGGACTACCAATATCATCCTCTTTTCTGCTCCTTTTCCTCATTTTTAGAACATAGCACAATGATTCAATATTGTGCTGTTGTTTGAAAATGGATGCTGCAAAAACAGTTTCATCTGTGCACAATCAATTCCAATCATTCTTCGTCGTGGCCTCTGTGCATCACACATATGGGTTCTGCGCCTGCGCAGTGCCTTTGGCCGGAAGATTAACAGCTAATGGTTTTTGGTGGGAACTCCGCTCCCCCTCCCCCCTAGCATTATATAAGGAGCGGAGTGTCCGCCATTTTCCAGTCTTTGCAACCGCCGTTCGTTGTGCCTCATGCCGCTTCGCTCTCGCTCAGATTGTTACTTACCTTCTTGCTCGTCTGAAAATCTCTCTTTTTCTCTTACCAAGTTTGTATCCTTTGTTCTTGTTGTTAGTATTTCACTTATATTTCTTTAACTTTGCACCATTTTTTCTTCTTTATCCTTCCTATAAAAAAAACAACAACCAAAAATATTACTTTCCCGCTTTACTATCTCCTTTTTTCTTCTTTCTACGATGGCGCAACGGGCGGCGTTCCGCAAGTGCGGAAACTGCAGTTCCAAAATGCCCGCCGCGGACCCACACGATCTGTGCCTCCTTTGTTTGGGGGAAGGGCACAGAACTGATAAGTGCAGCCATTGTTTGGCCTTCTCTAAACAGGCGAGGAAGAACGGAGAACCGCCTCCGCAAACTCCTTTGGGATCAGGCTCTCCTCCAATCTGATCGGCTGGTGGCTAAGCCTTCCACTGTTGTGGCCCCACCCGAAGGCCGTCCAACTTCGGCTGACCTGCCGCAACGTCCGGCCTCTTCCTCCATTGCTCCACCCTCATGCCCTTCTGAAGAAGGCGCTCATGCTATGGCCGATCAGTCTGTTTCCTTGCCAAAGAAGCAAAAGGAAAAAAGAAAGCACAGCGACTTAGATAAATATCCTGTGCATAAGAAGGCCAAGAAAGATAAGACGGGCAAGCCGAAGAACCCCGAGCAGGCAAAACACCGTCACTCGGGCTCAGCCTCTTCCTCGATTCCGATACCTACTTTGGAACCGACCCCCTCGGTCCCGACCATTCAGGCGGCTATGAGGGTTACCCCACCGGGCTCACCGTGCTGGCCGGCAGCCAAATCCGTTATGGATTCGAGGAGGGGTTCCATCTCTGATGGGGAAATACGAGACTCCTCACCTAAGGCTCAATCACCAACCCCAATGCCTCCGATCCCGATGGATACGGAGATCGCCATCTCCCCTCTGAGAAGCCGTAGGAGCCATTCCTCAGATGCAAGGTCTGATGATTGGTACCACTCCAGGTACTCCTCTGCTCCAAGACGGGAAGAGTACCACCCTACAGCCTACTATCCAACCTCTAGGGGACAATCTTCACCATCAGCGCCTCGGCAGCATTTCCATTCAACGCCCAGAGACGCCCCAAGGGCACCATCTAGAGAGAATGGCAGATCGGAGTCTCCAGGAGATTCTTCCTCCAGTGTACCACCCCCCTACTGGATGGAATCCGAAGAGTCTGAGGCTGACTCAACCTCGCCGGATGCTGCAGTTGCTTTCCAGGGTCCGGGGACGCCTGAGGAACCGTACATATCGTTTAACGATCTGATGGCCAGACTAGTGAGATCGCTCGATATAGGAGCCCACCAACAGCTGGGACCGAGCACCGATCGTTTTTATGATGTGGTTAGAGGTGAACGATCCACATCTATTGCCTTGCCGTTTATTATGACCTTACGGCAGGCAATGACCCAGCCATGGGACCTCCCAGCTAATCCACAACCGACCTCTTGTAAATACGAGTCCATGTATCGGGTGCAGGAAGAGGACATCCCATTTCTTCTCCGCCACTCCAAGCCGAATTCGGTTGTTGTAGAATCCTCGTAGGGTCGGGAAGCCTGTGGACACACCTCACCTCATGACAAAGAGGGTAGAAAGGTTGATTCTCTTGCCCACCGGGTATATGCAGCTTCGGGCCTTGGTTTAAGAATCTCCAATTACGAGGTAACCCTGGCGCGTTACCAGTATTTCCTGATGCAACGCCCGGACACCATCATCAATACTCTTCCGGGAAACCAGGGCGAACTTTCTAAGACTTTTGTTAAGGAAGCTATGCAAGTGGTGGTGCAACAGCTTTCTACCGCGAGGCACCACGTGGACTCTGATTTGAGGTCGCTGGTCGGTGCAATTTCCCTCCGCAGGCATGCCTGGTTGCGTAATTGCAATTTTCTGGATGAGATGAAGCGGGAAATTGAAGAGATGCCGTTCGACGGTTCCGGTCTCTTCCATGCAAGGACGGACAGCAAACTGAAGAAAATCCATGAATCAAGGATGACCGCCCGTTATATGGAATTGCAATCTCTACCCCGACGTAAGTGGTCATGGTCACATCCACAGTACCGTCAACAGTTTCAGCCTCGGCAGCAGCAACCGCATCAACGTCAGCAGTGTCGCAGGCAACAACCGCCACAGCGCTTCCAACAGGGCCGCCGCCGTTTTGATACGGACAGGCGACAGCGCTGATGTGACGAGGGAACCTCTCCTCTCATTCCAACTCCACCCTCCCCGCTCTCATTTGGGGATCGACTGAAGAGTCGACTCTCCATTTGGGAGTCCATCACATCTGATGGATGGGTGTTATCTATCATCCAGCACGGATATGGAATCGAATTCAACGTTGTACCATCAGCGAATCCTATTTGATATACTCCGACTTCTTTGGTACTGTTAGACGAGATTCATCAACTCCTCGCTAAAGGAGCTATTTGTCACCTGTCGTTATCGGAAGGATTCCACGGATTCTATTCCAGATACTTTACATTTCCAAAACGAGATGGGGGTCTAAGACCAATATTGGACTTGAGAGCTCTCAATAGATTTATAACACCAAAGAAGTTTCGGATGACCACACTTCAAAGTATTCTTCTGTTGCTGGGAAGAGGGGATTGGTTCGCCTCATTGGATCTGAAGGATGCCTATTTTCATATTTCAATACATCCAAGTTATAGGCATTTCCTTCGTTTTGCGGTGGACTCTGAAATCTACGAATTCAATTTGCTACCGTTTGGATTGGCCACTGCACCAAGAGTTTTTACAAAGTGTATGGCCCCTGTCTGTGCACACGTTCGATTACGTGGAATTCGGATATACCCGTACCTTGATGATTGGTTGCTAGTCGCCGACACAGAAGCAGGACTTTCGTCTGCTATTGAGTTTACATGTGCTGTATTGCACAATCTCAGACTCTGTATTAATCGACAGAAATCTTCCCTTCTCCCTACGCAGGTGATCAACTTCATCGGAGCCTGACTGGATTCGACGTTGGCAAGAGCCTTCCTTCCCTGGGACAGACGACATGCGATTGCTCATTGCATCGCTCAGATTCAACAAACAAGAACTGCTCCCACCTGGTCTATTCAGAGTCTGTTGGGTCACATGTCTGCTTCTATTGCTGTGGTTCCACACGCCAAACTCAGGCTACGTCCCCTTCAACTGTTCTTCAACAGGGTGTTTCGACCACAGATAGACCCCCCCCCCCCACCAAACGGATTCGACTCCCGGCTTCCGTTCTTCAGTCCCTGTTATGGTGGATAGACCCAGCCAATCTAACCGTAAGCATTGCATTCCGACCCCGGTACCCTACAATAACCCTCGGTACCGATGCGTCTGTACTGGGATGGGGAGCAATCTGTTCTGATCTACGTACCCAAGGGATATGGAGTCATCGGGATTGCAGGAACCATATCAATTTTCTGGAACTTCTTGCTGTTTTCAAAGCCCTTCAATCATTCGAGGATGTGCTTCTGCACCAGGTCATCCAGATGACCTCGGACAACATGGCGACAGTCTTTTATTTAAACAAACA